CAGCGCCTGTGTCCAACACCCAATAGTCTAGGGGGTGCAACTCTGCTCCAACTTTGGCAGAGGCGTCTCCTTGCTCCCCCTTGTCTCCCACATGGAAGAATTGGCCCGCGGTGCGCTCCTTCTTCTTCTCCGCACCGCCGTTGCCCTTCGGGTTGTTGTCGGACGAATCAGCGACCATGTTGGCGCCGTTTTTCTGGTTCCTCCGCGCGCCGCCATCCTGGTGACGATTCTGGGGGGTCCATCCATCGGGTTTCTTATAGCACAAAAACCAGGGGTGCCCTTCCTTCTCACAATACCAGCAACTCCCTTTCATTTTGCCACCAGCACCCGACTTGCCCCCACGTCCAGATTTCGCACCGCGACCCCAACCGGTACCTCCTTGTTGGTCGTTGGAGTCGTCGTCTTTCTTTGCACCGCGTCCAGCACCACCGAAGCCACGTCCTCTGCCACGTCGGCTCCCTTGCATCCCGTAGCCGCTGCTGCCGTCGTCTCCACCCCTCAGTTGGCGGCGACGAAAGTCCTCCTCCAGAATCTTCGTCCGCACCCACTCGAGCGTCCACAAGCTCTGGTTCTGCGGCAGGCTCAATCCGCTCGTAAATTGAAGCCACGATTCTGGCAGCAGCGAGAGCATCTTCAAGCACTTGGTCTGCTCCGGGTAGGTGATTCCCGCGGTCGCCAACTTCGCGTAGAGGTCGCGCATCTTGTCCAGGACTGGTTGCACCGGCTCTCCCTCGCTCAGGCGCAATGCGGACAGCTCCCTCTCCAGCATCAACGTTGCGACAACGGAGGTCGGGGCGTGCAGCTCCTTCAACACGGTCCACGCCTTCGGACCGCATTCAACCTCCGGCAGCAGGTGCATGACGTGGTGACGCTGGTTCAGCTCCAAACTCTGCGACATCAAATAGTAGCCAGCCGAGGAGCGCTCGTCCCAATCTTCCTGCAGCGTGGGGTCACTCGGTCTAGGCTCCTCCCCAATCATTAGTTTCAGCAAACCGATCTGACGGAAATATAATTGCATTTTCCAGGCCCAATCATCATAGCCCTCACCATTGAACTTCTCGACGGTGAAATTCTTCAGCACCTCCTTGACAAGCGAGCCCTGGTTTGTTCGCGCTCCCCTTGGCACTGAAAGACCAGAATCTTGGCTGCCGCTACGATCTTGGGCTGAAGATTCACCAGCTCCCGCCGAGGTGTTGCCCGCCATAGCTACCTATAACGAGGATCACTATAACGCAGCTCTGATACCAGCTTGTTGGTGTAAGGGCCTAATAAACTCAAGCTATTAGGACTTAATCAAACTTAAAACCTCTCCTCGGGGTCACCTCCAAGGGTCCCTGGGTGCCTGGTACAAGACCAGCCCTATCCTCGGGTCCGAGTTTGTAGAGAGAGGGATCAAGAAGGACTTAGTCAAAACAGCAAGAGTACCTTGAACGTCGCGCAGCGTGCCGTGCAGACCGTCGGTCGGATTAAGCTGAGAATTCGCTATATCGAAGCTCGCTCCAAGAGCTTTAAAATGAGCCAAGTTGCCTCGCGAAAAGTTCTGCCATTACTAAGTTATGGCTCGGACAGCGTTTGCCTAGCGTTGGAGTGCTAGCATACTAGCGTTGACTCGGGTAGCATTCCGCCGTCGAATAGCGCAGAAACGAAATTCCAGCGAGGAAGGAATTCGCTTGAATCAATTTTGACTATATTCAGGTACAAACAGAGAACAATTAAATAGTTCTAGCTAGCAAGGACCTTGGGAATCAACCTGGGAACAACCAGGGATGATCCCAAATAATTCCAAGCAACAGAACCAACCTGGCTGGACAAAATAGCAGGTGGTAGGTTGGTAAACAACCTCTGGTTCTGTTTTTCCAACCTGGGAAAACAACAACCAGGTTCAGGTTCTAAAAACAGAACCTGTTTTGTCTTTGCCCAACCAGCCAAATGCTGGTTCCGCTGGTTTCCCCTGGCCTTGTAGCATGCAGATACAGACAAACAACATCCAACCTTCACCTAAATTGTACCCCTATAGTGCCTTCCCTGCTACACTATAGTTAACCAAACAAAACAGTACAATTCCGAGTTGGATAGAACTGAATCTGCGCAATCAACTCAACCGAACTGCAAAGCTTCCATCTTGGGTTCCTTTGCGAGCTCGTCCTTCCTGCTTGCACTGTTCATAGCGCATACAATGTTGTGCCAAAGCGCACATTGCGCGAGTACCTGCAAATGCATCAAGCGAAAAATGCGAAAGCAAACAAACACACGAACACACCATTCACACGCAAATGCATTCGCACACGCATACTCGTACAAACAGACGGCAGGATGTCGTGCAATGTGCATTTGCACCCAACAGAAATGCCCTCTGGAGCGGGATTGACGGGCGAAATGCCGTCGGGAGCGGGATTGACGGGCGAAATGCCGTCGGGAGCGGGATTGACGGGCGAAATGCCCTCGGGAGCGGGATTGACGGGCGAAATGCCCTCGGGAGCGGGATTGACGGGCGAAATGCCCTCGGGAGCGGGATTGACGGGCGAAATGCCCTTGGGAGCGGGATTGACGGGCGAAATGCCCTTGGGAGCGGGATTGACTGGCGAAATGCCCTTGGGAGCGGGATTGACTGGCGAAATGCCCTTGGGAGCGGGATTGACGTGCGAAATGCCCTTGGGAGCGGGATTGACGGGCGGAATGCCCTCGGGAGCGGGATTGGCGGACGTCCTGCTGCTCGGCGCGTTCGTCGCGCGGGTCGGCGCGGAGGTCCCGCTGCTCGGCGCGTTCGTCGCGCGGGTCGGCGCGGACGTCCCGCTGCTCGGCGCGTTCGTCGCGCGGGTCGGCGCGGACGTCCCGCTGCTCGGCGCGTTCGTCGCGCGGGTCGGCGCGTACAAGCGCCTCAAATGACACGGGGAAAGGTCTGAGGGAGGGGGGAAGGCTGGTGGGGCGAAGACCATGATGCCGGCAAGAGGCCGAGGATCTCCTAGGGAGAAGAAGGTGGCGTTAGCCAAAATAGCTCTATACCATGTGAGAATCCCATAGTTGGGATGAGAAGTGAACTCAAGAGTTGATTGTATTAAGGAAACATTGGGCTTACATAGGAGAAGGAATAGTGAGGAAACTAGGAGATAAGCTCACAGAATTATTGGCTGGCCAACATTGTTGGCTGCCCAATAATGGTTGGGATGAGCCACCAAAGTGGCCCCCAATAATTGTGGCATAAGGGGGGTTGGGGTGTCCCAAACCAAAGTGGTTGGGGCGCCTCGAACAAAGTGTACACCCAGAATTGGGTGTAACACTAGCACAACTATAACATCATAGGATATATTCTAACATAGGGTACGTGTGTGCAGGTTCCTTGCAAGTATTGGGAGATGCTAACCATGAACCACAGCTCAACTCAACGCTTCACACCATGTGGGTATCTACAGCTACAACTAGCTGTCAAGAACACTCAAGTGTCGAAGGTGCCGTATGGTATGCATAGCATGACGGAAACAGCTGCTTCATGCTCCTTTTGAGACGTCTCAAACGCCGTATGTATGTATGCCATGACGGAAACAGCTGCTTCATGCTCCGCTCCGCCGCACCCACCCATTGCTTCCCCCTTGCTCTCCCATACGATTCAAACCTTTCAGGCTCTGCGCATTCCCGCACTATACTCCACACGTTAGGCAGGTTACTTGAATCGCCTCTCCACCATCCATATAAAGCTTAGGTATAAGCGCCTAGTGGTTAGTCCAGCATGGCGGGCGTCCCAGGAAGACACAGCAGGAGAAGCCAGTGGTGAAACAACGTGACCGGACGGTGATACTGGTGCGGATTTCAGACTTCTCCCGCCAGCAGCAAGTGGTGTGGCAGCAAGCCTTGAGGACGGGTTGAGGACTGTGGGGCACCTGGGGAGTGGACCTGACCTGCCACCTGCTTCACTGCTTCAGGCCGTGGCATCTGCTAACCACTGACTTGTATGGACTAGAGGCCTTGGGAGAAGAGACTTTTGAGCTGACTCAAAAGTCAGCGTACGGACTAGAGGCCCTGCGCAAAGATTGCTTGGCATGTGCAAGGCCAGAGAGGGCCCCTCGGTAGCAATCCCTGTTGCTCCGTTGGAGGGGAGAGTAATAGGCACGCGCGGCTTCAGGAGAACAAGTTTATTTCGATTTTCTGGTCTGATGCGACTGTCTGTCACTGTCTTGGGTGAGGCGAGCGCAGTGAGTGAGGGTCGTGGGTTGCATGAGGCGAGCGCGGTGAGTGAGGGCTGTGGTTTGGTTGAGGCGAGCGCATTGGGTGAGGGTCGTGGATTGGCTGAGGGGAGCGAAGTGAGTGAGGGCCGTGGGTTGGCTGAGGCGAGTGCGAGCGCAGTGAGTGAGGGCTGTGGTTTGCCTGAGGCGAGTGCAGTGAGTGAGGTGAACGTTGGGAGTGAAGTGCCGGCATCGACCGAGGGGCCCACCCTGGCTCCGGAACATGTATTGACGGCCGTGGCTGCCTAGACTGAGACTGCGTTGACTGATAGTGTCTTGACTGAGGAGACTGCATTGACCGAGACTGTCTTGACTGAAACTGCCTTGACTGATACTGTCTTGACTGCGGAGACTGCATTGACTGAGGAGGTTGTATTGGCTGAGGCGATTGCCTTGACTGATACTGCCTTGACTGAGGAGACTGCATTACCTGAGACTGCCTTGGCTGATAATGTCTTGACTGGGGAGACTGTATTGAGTGAGGAGGCTGCATTGGCTGGGGCAACTGTATGGATGGGAAGGACTGCTTTGACAAAGTGGGGTGCACTGATGTGAAGGCCTGCTTAGATGGAAGCGACGCCCATTGGGGAGCATTGCCGGACTGAGGAGATTGCCGTGCCTGAGGAGACTGCCTAGGCGACTGCATTGACTGCGTTGACTGGGGGTATGAATCTGGCTGCTTGTAGCCCACGAAGGGAGCTGATCGGATCACGGGCAGGTGAGGGGAGAGTGGCTGTAGAAGCGACGTGAGTGGGCGGGCCACTGGGATCGCCGTTTCACTCTTCACACCCCACTGCCCCTGCAACCCCGCATGGCTGCCCTCTCCAAATAACGGGCCTTGAGAGGAAGGGCCTTGAGAGGAAGGGCCTTGAGAGGAAGGGCCTTGAGAGGACGGCAACACACGGCACATGACAGCCTCGCTCTCTGCTATGTGCGTCAACTCCGAGTCCAGTTGATTGGAGCTCAGGTGAATCGAGTCCACAGACCCATAGCGCCGCCGCCGCCACTGCCGCACACCTCCCTCCCCGCCCGCCCTGCCCTGCTGCTGCCACCCCTCGTTCCACCCACCGGCCTGCTGCGAGATGGCTTGCTGTGAGACGCTCACGCGACTGTCAGTGCTGGAAAAGCTGTCACGGCTGCTTAACCGCTCCACAAACTCAACCCGTCGGATGGTCAGCAGGCGCTTGATAGCAGGCAGCGCGCGCCTGGAGTCCCTGGGGGAGGTCGGCAGCGACGCACACTCCCTCTGCACGTACATCTCCTCCCACACCCGGTCCATGTCCCCACACTCCTCCGCTCGCCCCGATTCTTCCCCCCACGTGTGCGTGGACACCCCGTACGGGCTCTGCACTATTACTGGCGACGTTGGGTGCCAGCCTTCAGACACAGGTGCGCCATCACCCCCCTCTGCTGTCCCATCGCTCTGACCATCCCACTCCTCCGCTCGCGCCGATTCTGCCCCTCTCAGCTGCGTGGAAACCCCGTACGGGCTCTGCACTACCACGGGCGACGTTGGGTGCCAGCCTTCAGATACAGGTGCGCCATCCCCCTCCTCTGCTCGCCCCGATTCTGCTTCCCCCAGGTGCTTGGAAACCCCGTACGGGCTCTGCACTATCACGGGCGATGTTGGGTGCCAGCCTTCAGACACGGGTGCGCCATCCCCCCTCTCTGCTCCCCCCCCGCTCTGACCAACCCCCGCCTCTGCTCCCCCCCCGCTCTGACCAACCCCCGCCTCTGCTCCCCCCCCGCTCTGACCACCCCTTTCCTCTGCTCCCCCCCCGCTCTGACCACCCCTTTCCTCTGCTCCCCCCCCGCTCTGACCACCCCTTTCCTCTGCTTCCCCCTCGCTCTGACCACCCCTTTCCTCTGCTTCCCCCTCGCTCTGACCACCCCTTTCCTCTGCTCCCCCCCCGCTCTGACCACCCCTTTCCTCTGCTCCCCCCCCGCTCTGACCACCCCTTTCCTCTGCTCCCCCCCCGCTCTGACCACCCCTTTCCTCTGCTCCCCCCCCGCTCTGACCACCCCTTTCCTCTGCTTCCCCCCCGCTCTGACCACCCCTTTCCTCTGCTTCCCCCTCGCTCTGACCACCCCTTTCCTCTGCTTCCCCCTCGCTCTGACCACCCCTTTCCTCTGCTCCCCCCCCGCTCTGACCACCCCTTTCCTCTGCTCCCCCCCCGCTCTGACCACCCCTTTCCTCTGCTTCCCCCTCGCTCTGACCACCCCTTTCCTCTGCTTCCCCCTCGCTCTGACCACCCCTTTCCTCTGCTTCCCCCCCGCTCTGACCATCCCTGCCTGCCTCCACTCCACTCCGCTGCGCCGACATGGCCGCTCCTGCCCTACCCACCCTTTCCTTCCCCACCGCATCTCCTGGCGATTGGCTGCTTCGGGATGCACGGAGGCTCGAGGAGGAGTCGGGCGTGTAGTCCGGGGCAGCAGGAGCGCGTTGCGCCTGCGGGATGCCCGCAAAAACCCCGCCCACGGTACTGTTTGTGGTGATGATGCTCATGGTGGTGCTCGTGGTGCTGCTTCCCTCGTAGCTGCTCCCCATGAGCCACAGGTTCATGCTCAATTCCGCCTCCTCTGCGCGCCTGCGCCCACCTCGCCCCTGCTCCGCCCCGCCCTCCTCCCCTTCCCCCGCGTCACACTCCTCATACCCCAACCGAGGCACCACAAACCCCGCTGATTCACTATCATTGTAACGAGGTGACTTTTGAGTCGACTCAGAAGTCTCCTCCCCTTCCCCCGCGTCACACTCCTCATACCCCAACCGAGGCACCACAAACCCTGCTAATCCATTCTCATCGCCCTCTAACTTGGGACGATCTGGACCGCTCATCTCAAGGACTTGCGCGATGGGGTGCGTGAAGCTGATGGGGCCCTGATCACGTGGAACCAAAGGCTCTGATTGGTCAGGCGGAGGGGTTGAGAGGGCACATGTAGAATGCGTGACGGCCGGTTGCTCCTCATAGCCTGGCTCGCTGATAGAGTCGCGGATAGATTCGCGGATAGAGTCGCGGATAACGGAGGAGGAAGCAGAGGGGAAACGAGCAGCAGAGGCGTGAGAGGGGGTGGAATGCGGTGGGATGGAACCTTCGGAGCTAAGTTCACTGGCAGAGCGATCGCTAGGGAAGAAGTGGTCAACGTCAGACCAGAGGGAAGAATGCGTGAAGCTCCGGGGGCTCGCCGCGGCCTGGCGGTGCTTCGACGGACTCTGCACACGCGCTGGCAGCTCCAAAGGGTCGGTGATCTCGGTCCAGTTGCATGCTGCCACGTCAGCGTCAATCTTTCTGCTTGGGGATTGCATTTGGCAAGACAAGTGCAGCGGGATAAGGGAAGGGGAAACGAGTCGAGGCAATGAAAAGTACGTCCTGGAAATTGGGAGCGAGAAATGGGGAGCGGGGAATGGGGAACGGGGAGCGGGGAATGGGGAACAGGGAATGGGGAGCGGGGAATGGGGAACGGGGAGCGGGGAATGGGGAATGGGGAACAGGGAAACGGGTAACGGAAACGGGGAAACTTACGTTGGACTCTGCGTCACCGCGGGAGGAGTGGGATGCCAGCCTGCCGCCAGGGATGCGCCATTCCCCCCCCCTGCTCCCCCCCCGCTCCTACCATCACCCCCCTCTGCTCCCCCCCCGCTCCTACCATCACCCCCCTCTGCTCCCCCCCCGCTCCTACCATCAACCCCCTCTGCTCCTCCCCCGCTCCTACCATCACGCCCCTCTGCTCCCCCCCCGCTCCTACCATCCCCTGCTGAGTCAACTCCACTCCGTATCTCCCCCTCCGCTCCTGCGCTACCCATCCTTTCCTTCCCCGCCGCATCGCCTTGCGATTGGCTGTTTTGGGATGCGCGGAGGCTGGAGGAGGAGTCGGGCGGACAGTCCGGGGCAGCAGGAGTGCGGTGCGCCTGCGAGCTGCCCGCGTTGCTGCTCGTGGTGCTGCTTCCCCCCTGCTCCTCCCCGTCCTGCTCCCCTTCCCCCGCCCCACGCCCCTCAAACCCCAACCGAGGAACCACAAACCCCTCTTCTCCACCGTCATCGCCCTCTAACTCGGAATGATCTCGACCGCTCATCTCAAGCGCTTGCGTGCTGGGGTGCTGGGGTGCGTGATCAGGTGCAATCGAAGGCTCTGATTGGTCAGCGGGAGGGGTTGAGAAAGCACATGTCGAACGTGTGCCGTCCGATTGCTCCTCATAGCCTGGCTCGCGGCTAGAGTCGCGGATAGAGGAGGAGGAAGCAGAGGGGATACTAGCAAGAGCAGAGTGCAATGGGATGGATTTTTCTGGGCCAGGTTCACCAGTGGAGCGATCGCTTGAGGAGTCACGGTCAACGTCGGACCGAAGGGAACGATACGTGCAGCACCGGGGGCTCGTCCCGGCCTGTCGGTGCTTCGACGGACTCTGCAGACGCGCTGGCAGCTCCAATGGGTCGATGCTCTCGGTGCAGTCGCATCTTGCCACGTCAGCGTCAATCTTTTTCTGGAAACTGGGAGCGAGAAATGGGGAACGCGGAACGGGAACGGGGAAGCTTACGTTATTCTGCAGCAGCATAAGCTGCAAGCAAGTGCTAGACGTGACAGCACAAGCTCAAGCCAGAGCTAAGCCTGACGGGGAACAGACATAGTCTGCGGTGATTGCACAATAAAAAGAGAACCTGTTGAGCAAGTAGATCCGCATTCACAGGATTCCTCCGTTCGACGTGAGCGATGCAGGAAATACCAAGGTCGGTGCGTGAGGCGCCTCAAGAGCGATTTCGCTGTGCAATATAAGCAACGCAAACGCTTGTTGCGTCAGCAATGACCGATACTGTAAACGACCGCGCGGTATCGGGGCGTACTTGCCGGCATGTGCGCGGCTGCCAAACGAGGTAATCGAGGCCTTCAGGGCTTCCTTGAAATGCGCTGTTTTCGATACCACCTCCCCTGCGATGTTCGCCGTTTTAGACACCACCTCCGCAAAGTTCCCTGCTTTACCCTTAATCTCTCCCGAGACTACCGCAGTCTTTCCTCTGAGCGCTTCGCGCATCGCTTCAGATCTGGACACGAATTCTGCACCAATAGCCTTCGTTCTGGACGCCATCTCCTCACCTAAGACCGTTGTCTTCGATACTAATTGCTTCTTAATCGTTGCGACCCGATCGTCGAACGCATTTGCTTTCTTAAAGACCTCATCGTCGGCTTCTTCTGCCTCTCGTGGCAAAACCATGGCTGGGCTTGCAGATTGAGCTACCATGGATTCGTACGTCGCACGTTCATCCATCGTAAATATCGAGGTAAGGATTTAAGTAAACCAGTCCCCTTTCAGGTAAGCCCGCATTCTCAGTGAATCCTGTTCAGCATCTAAGCAATCGCTGCGCTACCTGATATCTAGCTGTGATGGACTAGCGCGACGATGAGTTGGCAGCGGTGGTGGGAAGGAGAAAGAGGGGAGGCGGGAGGCTGATACTTTCCAGTTTCCCCACAAAAGAGAATTGCAGGCCCTGTTCGACAGGCTAACACCGGAGCCTGCGGAATCATCGCGGCTGTTTCGAATTCTCATTTTTTCACACGGTCAGCCCGTGCAATGGGCAACTGAGGCTTTAACACTCGTTAACCTGTTGGCAGAGTGTTAGCCTGTCGAACGCAGCCGAAACCTGACCCCTTCGCCCTCACAGAAAGAACCAGGTGCCTCCCCGCACGGGCAAAGGTCTAGCCCTCGCCTAGCCTAAGGACGCGGCACCTGTTTTTATATTGCCACGATCGATCGTTGGTGGGGATCGATGTGCCGTTGTACAGAGATTTGGCAACTTCGTTCATGCCTGGTATCCTTTTTTCGTTGAACGTCTAGAATATACAGTAAAAGGGTACCCAAAATGGTGGCAGCTGCAGCTCGCACGATCGATGTGCCATGGTGCACACATCGATCGTACATTTGGGATGGTGGGAGAGCACATTGCGCCACAGGTGACAGACGCGATCGATCGGCGTCGCCCACGGTCGCAGACAACTAATGATTGGATAACGACAGCTAGTTCCTCGCTCTGAATGGTTAACGACAAATTCGTTGGTGTATTTCGCTGCGGGACCTACCTGCCCGATCCAGCAATTTCGAACCTGGCACCCACGGCTCGACGTGTTTGACACACTGCAAATTTGCAGTGTGTGCACATCGGTGTGCCGATCGATGTGGGAGAATCGGTGTGTAGGCATCGATTCTCCCTCGATCCTGGCAACATGAAAACATGTGCCGCGTCCTAATCCTCGCCCCCCAAAAGTGGGGTTTTGCAAAGGGCTCGTCAAGTGTTTGCAGTGGGAGGAACACCCACTCCGTGTACCCTAAACTAATCCTTGTGAACCAGTTTGGTTGGAAATATTCTTCCATTAAAAAAAAATCTTGTGAGGCGAGCAATTTATGGGGAATGTTTTTTTTTTTTTCAACGTTGTTACCCAGACCCCTCTGGTGAGCGGCCCAAAGTTTTCTACTGTGCCCGCGGTGACCCAGGTTGAAAGGGGCGGGCAGCTTCGCCTTGTGGGCCCCGCTCCTTCTGGGGCGAAGCTACCGATTGATTTGAGCGGTCGATCAGCTCGGGAAGTTGCTCTGAACCCTTCTCTTAACACTAGCCTAACACTCGCGTTTTGCAGAGTGTTAGCCTGTCGAACAGGGCCGCAAAGATGACCAGGAAAGGCAAGGCATTGGGGTTGGGGTTCTCATCCCCCACCCCCACCACCTCACGTACGCCCAGAGTCCAGCCGGACCACCCCACCCCAATCTAAGGGTGCCCTTGGGACTGCACTGCAGATGTGGTTGTGGTTGGCTGCGGTGGAGCGGTCCGAAATGTTCTTGGAGCCCAGGATGGACACGTGTCGTCGAGTTTGCGGAAAAGTTCCTGCAGAGGTCTATTTGCACGGCCGTTGATTGGTCTAGCGGTCAGACAAGCACGGACGCTGGATCTCGTTGGCGGGACCAGCACCAGGATCTACACCTGGTCCTCCTTACATCTGAACCCTTCTTTTTACAGACACCCTAAGTGCTTTTAGAAATGGATGGCACAGACGCCCAGAGGCAACAAATATATCAGTATACAATTGGGAGGCATTTCTGTTTGCCCACCCCGTGCAGCTATGGTGTCTCTCCCATTGCTTGCCTGGTGCCCGCTAGGACCACAGCAGTGTGCGAGCAGGGCTCTCGCCCCAGCGCCTGGCTGATTAACGCGGATGGGTGGAGCAAATTGTCAAAGTCTATGCCAGTGTGAATGCCCAGCCCATGCAGCAGGCACACCACTCAATTGCACTGCACCGAATCAAGCCTAGAGCTTTGGCGTCTCTCCCATTGTTTGCCGGGTGCGGGCCAGGGCAACAGCAGTGCGAGAACAGGGCTCTCTTCCCAACGCCTGGCTAATAAACGCCGATGCATCTAGCAGCTTGTCAAAGTCTATGCCCGTGTGAATGCCCAGCCCATGCAGAAGATACACCACGTCCTCTGTGGCCACGTTGCCTGATGCCCCCTTGGCGTAGGGGCAACCGCCGAGACCGGCTATTGAAGAATCTACTACTGACACGCCCATCTGTGTGTGACGGGAGGGAACAGAGGGCAGCACACGAGGTTAAAACCCTGCACCAGCCCATGCAGCAGATACACCACGTCCTCTGTGGCCACGTTGCCTGATGCGCCCTTGGCATAGGGACAGCCGCCCAGGCCGGCTTGAGGAGTCCACCACTGACATGCCAATTAATTCGTGGTTGGTGGGTGGGAGGGGAGGGGAGAAGAGGGGAGGGGGGAGGGTAGAAGCAGGCAAGCACATGAGCTGGTAGGCCAAGTGAGGAAGCAAGGTCACACGGCCATGACACCTAGCAATGCCCCCCGATGCAGCAGATATACACCACATCCTCTGTGTGTGGCGGGGATGTGGGAGTGGGGAGGGAAGGGAGGCAGCTCATCACCCCCAGCCCATGCAGCAGATACACCACTCTGTTGCCACCCCCTTGGCAAGGTGGGGGGAAGGTGACAGCAGAGGCACCCGGCCAGCCCTGCTATTGACGAATCGACAACTGATACTCGCATCTATGTAGTGAGGTGTGTGAAGGTGGGGGGAAGGCGACAGGAGGGGAAGGCGACAGGAGGGGAAGGCGACAGGAGGGGAAGGCGACAGGAGGGGAAGGCGACAGGAGGGGAAGGCGACAGGAGGGGAAGGCGACAGGAGGGGAAGCTCAGTGATGTTAAGCAGCTGAGGAAGAGAACAAGCAGATGAGCTCGTAGGCCATTGAGAAGACTAACACACGAGCGAAACCAGCCCCAGTAGGTGCAGTGCAGGCATCTCACCTGCAGCGCCACGAGGATGTTAGCGAGGGCCTGCCCGTAGGTGTCGTGGAAATGAACAGCGAGGGAGGCGGGCGGCACACACGCACACACGGCGTCCAGCATGGGCGCCACTGAGCCTGGTGGGTCGGTGGGGAAGGTGGGAAGGGGGAGTACAGGGGTTATATGGGTGCTTGCGTCTGCCTGTGTGTGCATGAATGTAGCGAGGCAGGTGGCACGCACGCACACACGGCGTCCAACATGGGCGCCACTGAGCCTGGTCGGGTGGGTTAGGGGGACGAGGGGGGAAAGGACGAGGGGGAAACGGGAGGAGTGAGACGGAGGTGGGGGGCACGCATGCACACACGGCGTCCAGCATGGGCTGGGCGCCACGGAGCCTGGTGGTTCCGCGTGCAAGGGCATGGCAGGGGGAGCACAAGGCGAGCGAGTGAGAGGTGGGAGGGCGGCATGCCCGCACACACGGCATCCAACATGGGTGCCACGGAGCCTGGTGGGGTGGGGAGGGAGGGAAGGGGGAGTACAGAGGTTATATGGGTGCTTGCGTCTGCCTGTCTGTGCATGATTGTAGCGAGGCAGGCAGCTCACACGCACACACGGCGTCCAACATGGGCGCCACTGAGCCTGGTGGGATGGGTTAGGGGGACGAGAGGGGAAAGGACGAGGGGAAAGGGTGGGGGAACACAAGAAACGGGAGGAGTGAGAGGGAGGCGGAGGGCACACATGCACACACGACATCCAACATGGGTGCCACGGAGGGCACACACGACATCCAACATGGGTGCCACGGAGCCTGGTGGGGTGGGGAAAAGGATAGGGGCACAAGGGTGAGATGGAGGTTTGTGTCTGCCGGTGCCTGCATTGCACCACACTGGATTGCATCAGACCGCATTGCACTGCATCGCTGTGAACCTTACCAGGAGTGCCGACGCCGATGGTGTCACCGAGAGACACCTCGTAGCACCCCATGTCGTGCAGTGCTTTTGCCACCCTCGCCACTGCTGCCGGCTCTATGTGACCCTCGTAGGGGCATCCCACCGCACACGACACATAGCTGCACGTGAGCAATGGCGAAAAGGGGAAGAATGGAGTTTGATTGAGGCGCCTCACACCATCTGCCACCCTCGCCACTGCTGCTGGCTCTATGTGTCCCTCGTAGGGGCACCCCACCGCACATGACACATAGCTGCAAAATCAACAACACAAGGGGTTGAACGGCAGTAAGGAATGACCTAGCAGTAAGGTAGCATGGCGCCCCCCCTTGATCTTTTACCACAAATTACTGAGCGAGCACGGAAAAAAGAGTGAGGGATACGGACCTAGAAGTAGGTCACATGACGCCCCCCCTCTACTCTATGAATCACTTATGACAGCTCGCAGAAGTACCCTGCTCTGCAACCTCAACCAAGGAACAAGGAACGATTAATCAGCGTCTGCCGTACCTTCTCTTACCGATGCCAATCATACCCCACCCTGACTCACCCTCTCACAGGAATGCCCATCTCCTTCGCAGCATCGCAAACCGCTCTGTACCGCTCCAAACTCTCCTCCACCGAGCAGTTGATGTTCTTCTTGGAAAACGCCTCAGAAGCAGCAGCAAACACGGCCACCTCCTTAGCTCCGGCTGCCACGGCGTTCTCAAGGCCTCTCAGATTGGGTGTTAGGACTGGTAGCTTGGTGCGGCCGTTGCTCTGCACTCGCTGCATCACCTCTGGCGCGTCTGAGAGCTGTAGGAGAGGAGAGGTTGGGAAGCAGAGTGAGGGGGTTGGGGAGCAGAGTAAGGGGGTTGGGGAGCAGAGAGGAGGGGCTGGAATGGAGGAGAAGGGGTTGAGGCAGCAGCAAACACAGGCCCTCCTTGGCCTCGGCTGCCATGGCATTCTCGAGGCCTCTCAGGTTGGGTGTCAGCACGGGCAGCTTGGTGCGGCCGTTGCTCTGCACTCTCTGCATCACCTCCGGCGCGTCTGAGAGCTGGGATTTGGGGAGTTGGGGAGCAGGAGTGGGAGGGACGGCAGGGGGAGGAGGGATTGAGACAGCAGCAAACACGGCCACCTCCTTGGCCCCAGCTGCCATGGCATTCTCGAGGCCTTGTAGCTTGGTGCGGCCGTTGCTCTGCACTCGCTGCATCACCTCCGGTGCATCTGAGAGCTGCAAGAGGGGTGGTTGAGGAACGGGAGAGGGGGGAGGGTAATGGGAGAGAGGGGGTTGAGGCAGCAGCAAACAGCTGCCTCCTTGGCCCCTACTGCCGCTGCCACGGCATTCTCGAGGCCTCTCAGATTGGGGGTTAGAACCGGTAGCTTGGTGGGACCGTTTCTCTGCACTCGCTGCATCACCTCTAGCAGCAGACTCACTAGCACTGGAAGCACCACCCATCTGGGGAATCCACTTGGGCGATACGAAGCTGGTGGCTTCAACAACAGTCAGCCCAGCGGCCATGAGGCGGTGAATGAGCTGCACCTTCACGCCCACCAGCTGTGTCACTACAAGACAAGTACCCACCTAAGGGATCCACTTAGGTGACACGAAGCTGGTAGCCTCCACAACAGGAAGTCCAGCGGCCATGAGGCGGTGAATCAATTCCACCTTCACGCCCACCGCCACCTGCTGCTTCTCGTTCGAACTGTACTCGTTAGAAGCAGCTGCTGCATTACAATCACGCACCTGTGGGATCCATTTGGGCGAAACAAAGCTCGTAGCCTCCACGACGGGCAGCCCAGCGGCCATGAGGCGATGAATGAGCTCCACCTTCACGCCCACCGCCACCTGCTGCTTCTCGTTCTGCAGCCCGTCCCGCGGCCCCACCTCCACCACCTTCACATACCGCGGCAGCCACTGAAGCGGATCCGCCCGCACCGCTTCTGGAACTTTGGTCACACTCTCATCCTTGCCATTGCCGCTGCTCGCACTGCTGTCATTTGTGCCAGTAATACCTTCTCTGTGTTCATGGCTCGCGCTAACGGCACTGCTATTGCCAGGCACAGTGAATTCTCTCCTGCGCTGTTCCCCTACGGGACTGACTCCCCTGGGCTTCTCCCCTCTTGGGCTGATCCCTCTGAGCTGCTGTCCGCGCGGGCTGTTCTCACAGCTGCGGGTGGCGGCCGTGGCAGCTTCGTGCAGCTCTCGCCACCACGCCGCGCCGCCCAGCCCCGACCCCGAGCCTGCCGCGAATTGGATCGCCTGCCAGCTGCCCCCGCTTCCTTGTAACGAGCGCGCCCCGCTGCTGCTGCTCATAATACTGTTCATGCTGCCCATGCCGCTGCTGCTGGTGCTGGTGCTGGTGCTGATGCTGCTGCTGCTGATGCTTCTCGAGAAGGGCAAAGGGGAAAGGAACGAGACTCCGTGAAACGGAAACGCATCTACATCCAGACCGGCGCACACGTGGCTGACTCCGATTGGACCTGCTAAAGCGGCGGTTGCGGCTGCTGCCGCTGTCGTTGCTGCAGCTGCCGTGGCAGCTTGAACAGCCATGGAACTGCACGCGCTCATACTCTGGTTAGTGATGGAAGGTTCTACATGGTGAGTGTTGAGAGCGTCTAGTTGGTGAGGGTTGTGAGCGTCTAGATTGTGAGCCACCGTGCCCGACGGTATAATTGGTGCTTGTGGTGACGCGTGAGAGGCCTCCAATCCCATCGCGACACGTGGCGTCCAACGAGCTGTGAAGAGCTGTGATGCTGGTCTGGTGGAGGGGACGCTCGTACTGGATGACGAGACACGTGGGCGACAAGGATGGAGGAGACGAAATTATAAGTTATCTGTGTTCCCGAGTCGCTACAAGGACATACTTAATGACAGGGACGACTCGATAACCACCTGGCGTGAGACAATTTAAAGAACATCATTATGAGTGCGGACATACCTCGTCCCCGAATGGTATCCGAAAGTGAGCCGTCTGCCAGCTATTCTTAAGAACGTGTCGGCTCGTCCCATAATCGCCAAATGCGCGTCAGTGATGGTATAGCGTCGTGAGGTAGCTCTGAGGGATTGGAGGTAGATTCGCACATTATACAAACGAATGGCTCGATGGGTACCGCTATAATAGGCGAAGCTAACGGCTACGGAAATCCGCTATCACTATCTAAAGTAGCTCGTGCCGTTTGAATACACGTCAAGGATAACCTATGGTCGACTCACGGAGGTTGAATGCCTGGCGAGCAGAAACCGGAAAGCGAATCGGGAGGATTACCTGGTAGAGGCATTCAGCAGTTGAAAGGGAATTGGACAACTGCAAAGCTGCACTTAGCGCGTACGAAACAGCATGCTGCATACGGTATGAACCAGCAACCAAAAAGGATGGAATAGCCTGGTGTGCGTTTTAGTTAATTTTGAATTTAAAGGAGGAAAGATTCGCACAGGGGTCAGATCACAAGGAATCCATACACCAATCGACATCTGGAGGAATCACCTGTTCAACCGTCGCGAGCGAACCCATTCACCTATCAACTCGGGTTTCCCAGGATTTTCTGACGGCATGCTGACGAGAATTGGGGTCATGCCGATGGGAGCTACTCCCAGCAAAACGTCACTTTGCCGACCTACCATAATTCCTCGTTGGCTCCACGTCATAAAGAAGCTGATTGGCGTGGACTGACTACGCATCGGCGGGGCCGAGGTTGAAGGTTTGTGGTGGGAATAGGAGCATACACAGCAGAAAGGTGTAGGGACTGTACTTGCCCACAAATGAAGCGTCTACAGTCGTGTACGTCCTTGTGGCTTAGCCACTCCACGTGTAAGCTCGCAATTAGCGTGAATGTCACATGAGCGTTGGCGATGTGACCAATGCCCACTATCTGCAGCTGACCTGGATAGAGCAATATTCTCTTCTGCCCAAAAAACATTCGTGACGGACAGATCTGGGATCCGTCGTTGACGGACGGACGGATTGACAGGTACCCTGGGAACGACAACTTCGAGGACAAGGGCCAGAATGCAGGATTGGATGGGTTCAGGAGACGGTGAAGGCCAATCACGAATCATCATTCGCTGTGGCAAGGGAGGTGTATGGTCTGGTCCATAGGAGGATTCAAAATTTGCGGCAGCGAGGGATGATTGCGAGCGCGCAGGAACATTTGTGGTTCTGACGACGTTCGCCCCCGCAAAATCGTTATTCGATGAGAGTAGTTACCAGCTTCGGCTGTTTCGCAACCCGAACCAAGCCCTCTGGCTATCTCCCTCCCTCTCAATGTCATTTCCTCCCAAAATCCGTTCCTGTTTCTTATCTTCACGTTTCTTCCTATTTCTGAAGAATCAGGTTCCCCTTGGCTAACGAGGGTCACACCTCCAATAACCAGCTTTCGTTCTTCTGGTTAAGAACTCAGCTGTTACGACTGCTGGTTTGCGTGACCGTGATCCTCTGCATTTTCGCCTGCATTCCTGCAGTAACCAGCCATGGCGTCCGCATCAGCGTCCCTCCTTCAAAAGGCATTCCTCACCGGATCTCCCCTGAAACTCTCCGCAACTACCGGCACCGCTCTCGCAGCCACCAATGTCTCCATCGCAGCGCCATTCCGGAAGACGTCAACCGTCCGAGCCATGTCCGGAAGCCACGTCGGCGAAATCGCGAGCGTCAAGGCCCGTCAGATCATCGACAGCCGCGGGAATCCGACGGTGGAGGTTGATCTGACGACCTCCAAGTCCAGCACCGTGTTCCGCGCCGCCGTGCCCAGCGGCGCGTCGACGGGGATCTACGAGGCGCTGGAGCTTCGCGACGGAGACAAGAGCAAGTTCGGCGGGAAGGGCGTGCTCAAGGCCGTCGCTAACATCAACAACATCATTGCTCCCTCGCTGATCGGCCTCGACCCGAGGTAATGCAGACGAAATTTCAAGTTTATACACATTTTTTATTGTTATTTAACGAAGAGTGAAATCGTGGGACCAGAATGCCGGAGGCAGCAATGCGCATTTCAAATCCCCCTCTGCCCTCCAGCTTAAACTCTCTTCATGGATGATCAGCAGTCTGATTATCCCGCCTAATCCCGGTTGCTCTTGACAGCACCTCCAAATCACATCACAGGCTTCAAGGCATCTCAAATCAAATCACATTTCCTCGAATCTCGTGTTTCCCCCCACCCCAGGGACCATCATGCCATCGACGCGCTGATGCTGGAGCTCGACGGCAGGCGCAACAAGCCTGTCTCGGCTGCAACAATGCGCTCATGCTCATGCTCATGCTCATGCATCCCCATGCGTTTTCCCCCTCCCCTCTTCCCCCCACCCCAGGGATCAGCGCGCCATCGACGCGCTCATGTACCCCCTTCCGCTTGCCCCCTCACCTTCTCCCCGTATCAGGGATCAGCGCGCCATCGATGCGCTCATGCTCGAGTTCGACGGCATCAAGTCGCTCATGCTCATGCATTTCCTTCCGCTTTCCCCCTCCCCTCTTCCCCCCATCAGGGACCAGCGCGCCATCGACGCGCTGATGCTGGAGCTCGACGGCACGCCCAACAAGTCGTCGCTCGGCGCCAACGATGCGCTCATGTACCCCCTTCCGCTTGCCCCCTCACCTTCCCCCCGTATCAGGGACCAGCGCGCGATCGACGCGCTGATGCTGGAGCTCGACGGCACGCCCAACAAGTCGTCTTGTGTTGCAACGTGCCTCAAGCCGTCCAACCCTTCCCTGTCTCCTCTGCCTTTCCACCCGTTGCGCTCTGCCCTCCCAGGGACCAGCGCGCCATCGACGCGCTGATGCTGGAGCTCGACGGCACGCCCAACAAGTCGTCGCTCGGCGCCAACGCCATTCTCGGCGTCTCCCTCGCCGTCGCGCACGCCGGCGCTGCCGGCAACGCGGTCCCGCTCTACAGGTCAGCTCCGCTATAAGGCATAGGCTCGCTCCGTTATAAGCTCCAGCCATTCCCATCCACAACGCCGCTCGTCATGCCCGTGCCCGCACCATGAACGTCATCAACGGTGCTCACTCCGCGCCTCCTCGTCAATCTCTTCTCAATCCCTTCGTCCCTCTCCCCGCCCCCGTCCCCCTCCCTTCCCCATGCATCTCGCCCCTCTGGCAGGAGTCGATAGGCTCGTGATGCCCGTGCCCGCCATGCCCATCATCAACAGCGCTCGCTCTGTTCTGCTTTCGCCTTTTCCCCTCTCTCATCCCTCCCCGTTCCCCACCCCCCCAGGCACCTCGCCTCTCTGGCGGGCGTCGAGAGGCTCGTGATGCCCGTGCCCGCCATGAACGTGATTACGCCCTCTCCCTCACTCTTCTTCCCACTCGTTCCTTCTCCCCCTTACCCCCCAGGCATCTCGCCTCCCTGGCGGGCGTGGAGAAGCTGATCATGCCCGTGCCCGCGCCATGAACGTCATCAACGGCGCTCACTCTGCTCTGCTCTCCCCCTCTCGCCTTCCCCCTCCTTCCCCCGTGACCCCACCCCCCCAGGCATCTCGCCTCCCTAGCAGGCGTGGAGAGGCTGGTGATGCCCGTGCCCGCCACGAACGTCACTAACGGCGCTCACGCTGCTCTCCCGCGCACCCCTGCTCCCTTCCCCTCCGCCACCCCCTTCCCCAGGCACCTCGCCTCCCTAGCAGGCGTGGAGAGGCTCGTGATGCCCGTGCCCGCTATGAACGTCATCAACGGCGGCAGCCACGCGGGCAACAAGCTGGCGATGCAGGAGTTCATGATCCTGCCCACTGGGGCTTCCTCTTTCTCCGAGGCCATCCAGATGGGCTGCGAAGGTGAGCAAGGCAGTGTGATAAGCAGGGAGAAATGGCCTGATAAGCGGTATAGTGGCAGCCACGCGGGCAACAAGCTGGCGATGCAGGAGTTTATGATCCTGCCCACTGGGGCTTCCTCCTTCTCCGAGGCCATCCAGATGGGATGCGAAGGTGAGAAGGGCAGAGTGATAAGCAGGGAGGCGTGGTTTGATAAGCGGCAGTGGGAACACACCAGAGGCAGCCACGCGGGCAAGCGGCTAGCCATGCAGGTGTTCATGATCCTGCCCCTTGCCCCTCTTCCTTCTCCGAGGCCATCCAAATGGGGTGCGAAGGTGAGAGGCAAGGGGATATAAAATGTGAAACACTTGACAGGAGGCATGGAGAATCAACGCCCGAGCATGGCTGCACCTACGGACTTGGTACACTGGCAGCCATGGGGAACGTCGAGTAGGATCAAGTGAAGAGCATCATTCGCACCTTGCGCCTCGCCTTGCCCCATATGGAGGTGATTTTTGTGGCGCCGCAGCGAGTGATTTGAGGCGCCTCAAATAGCATCATCCGCACCTTGCGCCTTGCCTTGCCCCAAATCCTTCCGAGGGGCATCATCAAGAAGCGGTACGGGCAGGACGAATGCAACGTGTGACGTCACCTAACCCTCTCTCCTGTCCGTTGCCCCCTTATCTCCTCCATTCACCCCTCCCCAGTGTATCAAGTCCTGAAGGGCATTATCAAGAAGCGGTACGGGCAGGATGCGTGCAACGTGGGCGACGAGGGAGGGTTCGCACCCAACATTCAGGACAACAAGGAGGGGCTGATTCTGCTGGTTGACGCTATTGACAAGGCGGGATACACTGGCAAGGTGAGGGAATGGGGGCAAGGAAGGGGGGGAAACAGGGCGACGAGGGCGGGTTCGCACCCAACATTCGGGACAACAAGGAGGGGCTGATCTTGCTGGTTGATGCGATTGACAAGGCGGGGTACACTGGCAAGGTGAGGGGTGAATGGGGAGTAAGGTGAGGGCAGGGGAGGGGACCTTAAAGCCCAACATTCAGGACAACAAGGAGGGGCTGATCTTGCTGGTTGATGCGATCGACAAGGCGGGATACACCGGGAAGGTTAGTAGGGGAATTAGGGACACGGGAACCTTCAGGCCCAACATTCAGGACAACAAGGAGGGGCTGATTCTGGTTGTTGATGCCATTGACAAGGCGGGATACACTGGCAAGGTGAGGGGTGGAAGGAAGGTAAGGTGAGGGTGGGAACAGGAGCAAGTGATTGGGGAAAATTAGTACCTGCATTCAAAATGAGTGACGAAGTCAGGAGGGGAGGGAGGGAAGGGGAAGACAGGTACTGACTATCATTGTAGATGAGTAGCCCCTGGGGAACTGGGACATTGAAGTTCGAAACTGGGGAGCACTGGGGAGCATGGGGAGTATGGTGCTAAGACTCTGTTGGGACATTTCACTCCCTCGCAGCCAAGTCCTTAAAGCGGCGGTCTACATACTAAGTGGCGTTTTTTGGGGGGTATTTTTAATGCCCACCCTTT